AATTCAATCTCAGAGTGATTATAGAAGTTATTTTTAAGGAAAATAAAGATAAAGCTGTCCGGGTTTTTAAAAATAATGCGTCAACACAAATCGAGCAAGCTGTTTATTTCTTTATTCATGGTCTGTTTCTACTGTTTATCTATTTTCATTGCCAACCCTCGAAAACGAATTTAGTATGCATTTCACAGAGGAAGTTTGCACAGGAGAACTATGCTTTCTGATGGATCCGTACAATATGGCACAGCTTTAGAGGCCTAGGAGAGCCCCCACCGGGGGTTCCGGGGCGGAGCCCGAGGATGCTATCGAGTTAATTTGACTTCTCTAAGATATAAAGAGAGATTATTTCTTCAATGAAGTGAAAGGACTCTTGAAAATAAAATAGCCCTTTCATTTCATTTTAGAAATAAACACTAATCCATCCCTTGATATTTAAATTGCACTGCTCCTACTTCGTGCTTTGTTCACACTCTCCCTGTTCTATAAAGGGTGCTTTCTCTATCTGATCATCAACAGAAGCAAAATGCTAGGCCACGAACTTTTCGAAGCGTGACCAGATTCAAAGTATGATTAAATGGGGGCATTAATGTATGTAGAAAAAACAGGATTAAGATCCCATGCAACGCTTCGAAATATAAAAGAAGAATAAGAAAAATAAAGTGGAGATTCAACCTTTATGTCTAGACGTTGCATAATGCAATTCGTTTTGGTATTTAATTCAATCTCAGAGTGATTATAGAAGTTATTTTTTAAGGAAAAAAAAGATAAAGCTGTCCGGGTTTTTAAAGATAATGCGTCAAAACAAATCGAACAAGCTGTTTATTTCTTTATTCATGGTCTGTTTCTACTGTTTATCTTTTTTCATTGCCAACCCTCGAAAACGAATTTAGTATGCATTTCACAGAGGAAGTTTGCATAGGAGAACTATATATATATATATATATATATATATATATATATATATATATATATATATATATATATAATATATATATAATATAATCTTTTTATCCCGATATGAATTTCTTGCCAGTGTAGATTTTTTAACGCTGATAAAGCAAAAAGGTCACCGCAGTCCTTCCAAATATTTGCTACCTTTTCACAGGTAAAAAGCAGATCTATCGCTAACAAATAAGCAGGTATTTTATTTTGAGTTGTATGAAAGATCATGTCGTCAATTAACCGAATAGCTTCACCTATATTTCTTCCCTTTAGATATCCCACCTGATCAATCCAAATAACTTCTGGTAATACTTTTTTAATTCTTGTTGAAAGAACTTTGGTTAAAATCTTGTAGTCCACATTAAGTAAGGAAATGGGTCTGTAGTTTTTAATTTGTAACGGATCTTTGCCTTCTTTATGAATTAAAGTAATTACTGCCTGTTTTTGTGAGTGGGAGAGTTCCCCCTACAACAGGATTCATTCAAAGCATCGACCACTACGTCTCCTATTACCAGCAAAAATAATGAATAAAATTCAACACTTAAACCATCGTTACCTGGTGTTTTGTTAAATTTCATTTCTTTCAAAACTGCCATACATTCCCTCTCTGTAACTTTTCCTTCACAAATATCCTTAGAGTCTGGATTAAGTTTGGGTAGATCTATGAAAAAAGCATCACTAGAATTGGAATCTACCGTGGAATGCGCATATAGTTTGCTATAAAACTTGTGTATTTCTTTAATTATATCTCTCTGATCAAAACTTATTTTCTCTTCATTTATCATTAGTTTTCTGATTACTGTTTTTCTCTTATTTGATTCCATTAATTGGGTAAAGTAATTAGTATTTGTTTCTCCTCTTTCATAGTACGGTGCTCTAGAACGAATTTTAAGTCCTTCATTAATATAATCATAGCATGCTTTTAATTCTCTTCGTTTCAGTTCTAAAGATGCAAACTTCTCATTATCTACTGCTTTCAAAAGATCGTCTTCAAGGGAGAGTATTTCTATTTCTAGATTCCCAATTTTTTTCCTTTCTGAGCTTTGCTTTTTCTTTCGAATATTTTCTGATAAAACTGTTTATTTTCATTTTTAAAAAAATCCCATAAAACTCTTTTACTTTCTATTTCTGTTTTATAGTCCTCTTTCAGTTCAATGATTGCGGTTTTCATTAACACGATGAATTCTTCATCTTTACATAAACTATTATTAAATTTCCAATAAGATCCCTTGAATTTTATATCATTCGAAGGTAAATTAAAAAAGTTTAGTTGTACAGCTGAATGATCAGGAGCTATAGATGATATTATATTGCATTTTGATATTATTTCATCTAGTTTTTCGGATACAAACCAATAATCAAGTCGACTTTGCATAAAAGGATTGATTTGTCTATACGTAAATTGCTTTTTCATTCCATTTCGCACTCTCCAAATATCTATCAAATTTAATCTATCCACAAAATTTTCAAAGAGTCTACCAAATTTTGAGAGAACCTTTCGTTTACCAGTTCCCATGTAATCCAGGTTAAAATTGCTGATCGTGTTGAAATCACCTCCTACTATTAGCTGATTATTTTTTCCATTAACCGTTGTAAGGGTTTTTTCAAACTCGAGTAAAAAATTAATATGTTCTAATTCCTTCGAACGAACTGGGAAATATACATTGGCTATTGTAAGCCTTAACCCTTGTATAATGCACTCCATTATAATAAACCTACCGTTATCATCTGCAATTGCATGAATGACTTGAATATCTAGTTTAGAATAAAATAAGAACCCCTTTACTAAGGCTTGTCCCATGACTAAAATACGAACTACCATTCCATAGTGCCTTCCATTCGTTTTCTACTTCCTTGGTGCTATACGTTTCCTGTAAAAACACTATATCCGACCGTTTATCTTTACACCACATCAATATTTTCTGTCTCTTTAATTTTTCTCGAATTCCCTTAACGTTTAGAGAAAGGAAGTTACATACAAAAGATGTACTTATATTATCCATTGATTTTTAAAAATATTTCTGCCCTTTTCGTAATCAAATTTGAACATTGAATATTTAGCGGAGGACGGCGAAGCAAAGTAATATATCTTTTTCAAGTGATACCTCTTGATACGAGAACAATTTACACATTTACCTAAGAGACTGCGATTCCCGCCAAAAATGAGAGTAACCCCACCAACACAAACACAACAGCATACCCAAACATAATATACATACACATACAACATTACAATCAATAAACAAAAAACAAAAAAATCCCCCCCCCCAAAAAAAAAACACAACAAAAAAACCAAACCTTACAATTAAAAGAAAAACTACTCAAGAAAGTATTTATTTCCCGAGTAGTAGCTTTGCAAGACCTTCCCAAGCAAAGACTGCCCACAATTCACCCCCTCTTCCTTGAAATAAAATAATCAAAGCAAATACCCACCAATGTCCAACATACCCTTTCCTCTTTTCTTTAACCAGTCAGTATCCGAATTAATGGCATAAAAACAACTTATTGTCACAGCTTCTACTCGACCTTTATAAACAAAGTTATGCTATCAATATATATATATAGCGCTTAGAGACTTCGGTGGTAAGCGCTTTATAAGTAACGTTTTTATTATTATTATTATCATTATATATATATATATATATATATATATATATATATATATATATATGTATATATACAGAAGAAGAAAGAAAACAGGAAAAAAAACCGAAAAAAAAAAAACCAACAGCTCCATTGTCTGATTTGAAAGTACGAGTCAGGTCGACTTTTAAGTTTTGTTAAAGATGACCTCCATTTGATAATAGGCGTATGATATTTCTTTTTTTTACCAATATAAATGTTTCTATACTTTTCAACGATACAACAGAAAATGTGCTCCTATTCGAAGGTTCAGTATTGTAGTTAATTCGTCGAACTATCGTGGACCGAGGGGTCCACGATTTACAAGCATCGCTTCACAGTGGACCTCTCCGTTTCCAGCTTAACATTAATAAATTATTTTAAGCAGCAATATTTCTTGATATTCAAATATGTAATTCTGTTAAATTCATATTTTGTATTGCATGGTTACTACTTTGATTATTTATTGTAATGATATTTCTATAAATACTGTATTCTTTTGCTGGAAATGAGAAAAAATAAAATTGAAAATTGAATTGAAATGTCTATATTAAGAAGGCATAATATCTGTCAAGGGACTACCACCTATAGTAATAATATTGTTAACATTCAAACACCTTTCTGCAGATAGACACAGCACGTTTTAAATCGTAATACTCTTTGTCATACGATAAGTTCACTATGTGACTGGAAGAGAAGAAAAAAAAGGGGAAAAAAATCAATTTGGTTCAACAACTCATTCAAAGGTAGTATGCATGTGGCAATACTATAAAGACCTCGCCGTGTCAATTGACACGCCCTTCGTCTGATCATCGTGACCTTCGTCAACCTTAACCCACTTGTGCAACAACAAAACATTTCAAAAGGAAAACATGTGAACATTATAACTCTAAACTCTTGCCACACAGGACAGTGTCAGAATTATAATGCACAATTACAATGATAGCCAAGATGTGTTCTTAGGAAAAGTTCAATTTGGTTTAACAATTTATTCAAAGGTATAGTACCACAAGTATGCACGTGGCAATACTAAAAAAAGACCTTGAGTGTTGTCTAGAAAAAGATCAGGCGTGTATCGCTTTTGGAATTTAAGATTGAAAGGCATCCACTTTATGTCCAAACATCAAGTTTGGCCCAATGGTAAAGAGCAAGACATGCAATCAAGAATGTAACCTATTGCACCATTCGAATATTAAGAAAATACCGAATTCCTCTTTACTTTGATATATGTCAGTATCTAAATCTAATAGGCATACACTTTAACTTACTATCATGAATTTTTTTTTCTTCTTCTTTTAAATAAACAAAACAACTTGCAATTGTTGTCATAAGACATTCACCCATTGATGATAAGCATACTGATCGAAAAACTCATGTCTTCAACAATATATTCAGTGAGAAATGTGCCACTGTTCTTAATGTCTTTGAATTTTCTACGAACGAAACATGGTACATAAAAGAAAATAAAACTTTTCGCATGCACCAGTGATGATAGGCGCTCGGGCTGACGCCCGCGCCGATGTCACTCTCCATATAAACGCGATTAGTATACTTGTAACGCCCGACGCATATCGGATAGGCTAACTTCTACCTTGCAGTAACCTGCATTTATCATGGCTCTTGTATACCGGGCCCTTAAAAGAAAAAGTGTCGTTATCGTGTTGATCTGTTTGGTAGCGTTATGTTACTATCTCATCGGTGGTCGTCAGACCAGTCAAATTCCAAAAGGCTTGACTCGGAATGGGACATTACCAACTGACAAAATGAGTTTATCTACTAATCTCACAAAATACATGCGGTCTTTAGACCGCTCACCTCAGAACACTACGCAGAATGAGGACACTAGAAGTTGGCTAGAACGTACACATTGGGAGTCTAAGATTGATTACCACATGTATCACTATCTAATTAATCCCAAGGATAAGTGCAACTCCAATGGCCTGGTGGTGGATATTTCCGGGAACTTGACATTGCTTGTCCTGGTGAAATCAGCACCTGGTAACGCCGAACTGAGGGATGCCATCAGGAATACCTACATGCAGGGAGCCATAAAGTACAACGTGTCCGCTAGGATCTTGTTCCTCCTTGGATTCCAAGCACATGGTGAAGTGCACCAAACGGATATCGTCAAGGAGGCTGAGACCAATGGGGACATCATCCAAGAAGACTTCGAAGACTCTTACCACAACCTTACCATCAAGGTCATCATGGGAATCAAATGGGCCATGACATTCTGCGGTAACAGTCACTTCGTGATGCTGACGGACGATGATATCATGTTTGACATCCTGACCCTCGTCGAAGATCTGTCAAAGGCATACCCAAAACATCACTCGGGATTCGTACTAGGTGAGGCAACGTACAATGCCATTCCCTTCAGAGACCCAAATGGCTACTTAAAGAAGTTCTACACTCCAAAGACATTGTACCCTCAGGCCAGGTACCCGACATACCCGCAGGGGTATGGGTACATCATTTCAAGGGACGTCGTACCTCGGGTTTTCCAAGCTTCCAAGGAAATACCCCCTCCTGTACCGTGGGAGGATGTCTACATGGGTGCTCTGCTCCAGAAAGCTAGGATATCCATAACAGATAAGTTACCCTGGTATCGAGAACGACACCCTGTCAAAACGGCAACACCGAATTTGCTAGTTCCTCACAATGACTACTTCATGATACAATTATCGAGTGCTAAAATGAAGACAGTTTGGGATGCAATTCAGAGCGCGTTCATCATCAATGCGAATAACTCGGTACATTAGTCTAATAATTGTTGAGGTGATGTTAATTGTTATTGTATAATTGTTTTAAATGGGGGCACGCTACAATTAAGAGTCACATCTCGCACCCCGGGGCAACGTGTCTGACACGCGGCCGGTTCAAGCACTGACTACTCCGAAGATCAAGACATTAATCTTGATCTAAGGAGACACGAACGAACGAATACTACTCATTATCAGTGGCAGATTCAGAGGAACTGCCAAGATCTTAGATCAAATGTATGTTTTTCTTTGACATGTTGACCTTCGTGGCAACATAATGAGATGGGAGAGGGGGGCATTCGTACATGTACATGTACATTCAAAGGTTCGTTATTCCGAAAGTTCTTTTATTTAAACGTTCATAAACTAAAGCCGAAATTTAGCCTTCAGTATTCCGAGGGCTAGTAATCTGATAATGAAGTAGGGTACATAATTCCGGGAATAATGTATAAAATCGCATTTAATTTTCATAATTTAGAATTGATGAATTATAATAACCCCTATTTTATTTTTTAGAAATTGTGAACCTTCGAAATTAAAAAAAATCTTCGGATTAATGAACCTTTGTATTAAGGAACATTAGGGGGGACAGGCATGTAACTCATAGGACGGGCGTATTGCCCTGTACTTTTTATAATATAACTAATGAATATTATACAAATATTGTATGCTCCGGCATTTAATATAGAATAATATATGAACCGACAAATTCAGAATTTGTCGAATTATGTTAGTTCACCGTTAGCGCAGGGAGCCGTATTTTTCTTTTCTTAAGTGAATTTATGATTTTTACATGATCGAATGTATAAGAAAACAAGCAACATAACGAAATGGAGGATATTACATCAAGAAACAATATTATAAAAATTGTAATAGTTTAGTTACATTAACGACAATCGAACAAATGACAGTTCGAACGTAATTGAAGGTTAGATGCATAATGTTTGCGTGTCCTAGCAACAACCAATGTGAGAAATCTACCCGCAACAGTACGAATATAGCCCTATTCATGCTATTCGTAACACTTCGCCAATAGGAAAATGTGTATAAAGCTGAATTCATCATGAAAATGGTCCACTGCCTGGTCATACAGTGTAGTACTCAAACGAGTATTACATGATCGACGTAACACTATACGCTAGGCTGGTACACTGTAAAAACCAGGGTGTAGAAATTCTTACACCAGTACGGTATTGAATTTGTTTGACACCATTAGTGTTGATTATAGTCTCAGTGGTGTTATTTTTTAACACCGGTCAGATTTAAGCATGCATTAATAATTACTGGGTGTTAAATAACATGGTGTAGTTTTATGCTCGGTGTTGAAAGTATCATCACGTGATTTCCTTTAAGGCGGTTGATTGGTCGAATAAGTTTTCACAAAGTGTACGCGCGATTAATGATTACTTTACACGTGTTCTCAGAAAAATATATTTTTCATGATTTGTTAAGCAAATTATGACAATGCACATCAATTTTGTGATTTGTATTTTCCTTTGGCAATTATTGACCAATAGATTATTTGTCCGACCTTGTTACAATTACATTAACGTTTTAGCAATAATATATTGATTATATTATGATTACTAACCAAGAAACGACATGCATGTTTATTAATATTCGTGTATCAGCCTGTATCACTTAAATGTTTATCTTAAATATACTTCAAATGATCTATGTGATGAAGTTAATGCAATGGAGATTAGAATATACCTATCGGTGGACAGTTTCCAAGATCGATTGTGAATTATCAGTTTACCACTGGTTCTTCTACCCTGATCGATAATGGCAGATAATAGGAAATATGGAATGTGGGACCATTAGAAACCCATAAAAAAAAAACCAAAAATGGAATTTAATTTGTTATGATTCCAGATATTGGTGTTAATCTACACCAGTAGGAGTTGTCAAATATTAACACCAAAAATGGAATTGAAATTATCTAATTCCAGAAAATGGTCTTAAGTAACACCAGAGGAGTTGTCCGATATAGATACCAAGAAAGTGTTAAATTGAACACCCTTGGTGTTAATTTTAACACTCTGGTTTTTGCAGTGTACCTGTATAATGCAGTTATTCGTTCTGATTGCTCGATGTTTGTGGGTCTCAGCTTTTGAATAGTGTGTTTTTAAAACTATAGACTGTACATTTGAGATTAAATTTAGTGGGTATTCATTTCTTGGAAACATTAAGAGGAATTCATAAATTAGCGAAACATAGTTTGAATATTATTATGCTTAAATGTGGTGAATGTGTGTATCCACTGAATAATGGAATCACAACATTGGAAAAAGCTAGTACGTGCGTTGGACGAATTCAGACATTAATTCAGAATAATGAATAGATCATCCCCCCTGAACAATAGGCATTACCCAAGGATTTACGCCCATGCACAGAATGTGTGTGTGTGTGTGTGTAATTGGGTTTTTACAGACGTGTATCAATCAGATATGATTATTTACGTCTGGGACCGACCTTTAACGTCACCATCCGAAAGACGTGACTCAGTTTCGAACCTGCGTCCTCGGCTGAATCAGTTTGTAACTTCCACTGTTAGCTGGATTACAGGCGCACGCCACAACGATGTTTTCTATGCCTAAGTAGACGGGCATTTAAATTACGAAGAATTTAAGTATTGCAGATACATATATATATATAAGTGTAAGAAAAATAACATTAACAAATAATAGCATTGGCAACTATTGTGAAATAAACATGCGAGAGAAATATGAAATTAGATTACAATGGTTGCGTTCTCTCACTTCATATTTCCTTCGCATAGGGTCTATACACATAATTATGTTTTAGGCATGATATTTCAAGATCACTCGTACTTCAGTGACAATTTGTTTATATTTCCTCAAACTTTTGTATACAATTTTAGTGAGAATAAGTTGAAAATACATACTCCTTGTAATATATGGAAATATAATGAGTTTTGTCAATACCCAACGGTTCTGCTTTTTCCTTAAATATTATGTTTCGTCAGGGGATGAGTAAAACTAATATTTAGTGAATACCGCGGTAATCATTTGCCCATATAATACAGTATTTATATTTTCAATTTATCAGATTCATTCCGATATACTTCAACTCAGTTTTAAAACGTAAGTTTTTATGTGTGTAGTGGTAACGAATTTGTAAGTCTGCATGAAGACAGTTAAATTACGAAACTTAGGGAATATAAAGAAGCCATAACAAAACGTGAATATTATTATGTATGACTATTATTTTTTCATCACCAAAATGATCCATGTTTTTGTATGATATTTCTGTCTGAGCTTTATTTTACATGTGAGCAAACGAAATATCAATGTTCAATGACATTGGACGAATAAATACATTGAATTGAATGAATGAACAATCATAACTAACAGTTTTCTCTAATTAGCTGCATGTTGGTGAATGAATAAGGAAACTTGCATGTGTTTTTTTTTTAAATGCAAATGATAAGAGTAATTGAGGCGAAAGTAGGGTTTCTTTTCCTGTGAAGTGATTTGATTTTGGTCCGTATTCAGCTTAGCTCTATACTTCGCAGTTTCAGTGGTGAGTCAGCCGGGGTGCTGTTCACATTCGTCTGGACATTAGCCCCAAGTCCGGTACGGCGGTGCTCCTATACTACACCTTGTTTCTAATCGGCATTGGCATCGGTTTTGGATGATTTTCCAATTTGGGGCTGTAATTACCCCGTTTCTGGGATCGTAGATCATAGTACCTATTGCGAGTGTGTATTGGGTTTTTACAGACGTGTATCAATCAAATATGATTATTTACGTCTGGAGACCGACCTTTAAACGTCACCATCCGAAAAGACGTGACTCAGATTCGAACCTGCGTCCTCTGCTGAATCAGTTTGTATCTTTCATATTTAACTGGATTACAGGCGCACGCCACAACGCCCATTGCCTGTTGCTCATGATGTTCACATTTATATCATGTCAAAAGTCATAACTTAGGTACGGTCGTTTGCATATCATCATTCTGTGTTATGAATTCCTGAATTTGTAAGAGCCAACTCAACCCGTGCTTACTACTCGGCAGACATTTTCCAATTAAAAGGTTGAAGTATAATGGCACGAGGGGAATTCTTAATTCTTAACAACTAATTGCATGTAATTTGTTATATCAAAGAAACATTCAAGGCTAGACTAATACCTGAATATAAAGATCAATTCAAGGCGGAAAAATAATACACATGAAAATTATACGTAATTTTACATGGAAAATAAACAAACAGCAGGACAAACATACATTTGAAAAAATACAACAAACTTGTTCTATATTTAGAAGCGATACGTAAGATGGCACTTGGAACATCGACTCGAACATCATGTACTATATTGTTTAAGTGGTGTATACAGAAATAATAGAGTTATAGTTCGATTAATAAAAATACAAGGAAAATTAACAAACTTAGAAGAAAAAACAAACATGTATGAAGTAATCATAGCGTAATAAATATATTTGGTGCGTAAAGAACTTAATCATGATTCTGTTACATTATTGTATTCATTATATTATGCCAGGGTAGCCACGCGTCTCTGATTACGCCGGCTTGGATGGAAAAGTAAGCGTGTTAATTGTAAAAACAATATACATGCATGTAGCAGCCAGGGCTCAAATTAATTTTTTGTCCACAGGGGGCTCTTCCCCCGAAAAAAGAGCCCCCGTGAGCCTTCTCAGGGGGCTCTTTTATTACTGACGGGGGCTCTTTCTTATACAAATATCCATTGAATTGGTACCTATGATACTCCTCAATTATTTGCTATTTCATCATTATCATTTCAATCAGCATTTTCCCTCTTACAAATTTACAAGCTACATAGCTGTTACTGGCCTGTGTATATAATATATACGCATACAACACTGATCTTTATGATGTCTTTAACGTGACATATCTTCTTTCCCCCTTGCAAACGAAAAAGAAAACATGGTCATTAAAAGGGATTAAGCGACAAATAATGATTGTGATTCAAATTGATGCGAATATTTGTTGGAATAAGCACTATTATTCACCCGAATCATTTTTGTAAAAACAACTTTTACAAATCTCAGCCATGCTTACTGAGTTG